CATTTAAAGAATGTGAAGTACTTGGTTATCTAACTGGAATTATTTACTAGTGCTTTCATAGAGGAGTGATTTGTAACTATCCCACCACTTTTCATAATTCTCTATAGTCTGCTTAGAAATCTTTAAATAAACTAGTTTGCTCTTTTCACAACCCATTTCTTCCAGGAATTTTTTTTATTAAGATAAAAAATGCTTATCATTCTCTTCCGACAAAATTGATTGTTTGATATTTCCATGACGTGGTTATCTATATTCATTAGTTTATTGTACAGGTCGTACTTTTGATCCTCACTTAGGTGTAGTCTTCTGGAAACTTGATCAACCTTTTTCTCATAATGATACTTTCTCTGATAAATACTCTTCTTTCGAAAATGTAATCGATCGTACTCTTTCAAGTCAAAATAACCAAAAACATGGCCATTAGTTGTTCCACAAGAATCACAAATATTATATACCTGATTCAATAAAAAAACTATCGCTTTGACAATTCCTACATCTAACTTTCGTATTTTCTTCCCCTTCTGATTGGGCATTATTATAACTTCTTAACATTCCCAAATATCGCTCTATCTCTTCTTTTGTGTAAACCATTTATTATATATCTTATTATCGTAAAGTAAGAGTTTTTACTTTATCCTCCATCACATTGCGCTTATCATCTTCATTACTCAGAGCTATTTTATTTACTTCCTTTGAGTAAATATCATGATTTTCACTTCTTATAATTTTCATCGATCTCATTTGCTTTTCACCAGAAAATAAACACTGTACATAGTCTTCAAATGTTATACCTTTTTTACAACATTTTTCTTTATACCTTTACATTTACGAACTTTTTTACTCTCCTCTATTTTAAAACTATATAACTTGGGTCGCAAACCAACAAAATAAGTAATTTGTTTTCCTGCTACTTCATCTTTAAACATTCCTATTACTTTCTTATTAACTCCTGTCAGTATTCCAGATGGATGGTTAGAAGGATAATCTGACGTATCAAACTTGGTTTCTATATCGTGAGATATATCTTGGTAAAAATCATCTGTATAAATCTGATACATCAACGAGTCGGTACCTGTAAACAATAACTCAGCCCTGTGTTTATATTTCTTTTGAATATAGATGTAATGAAAATTGAACATTAATGTTTTTGACAGATCTAGAATTGCTTGTCCAACATATACTGGTTTGTTGAAGTATACTTCAGTTTTCTTCATATGAACTGCAATAAGATTTTTATCAAATATTGTTGCTCTATCAAAGTTTGGACGTGATACTAGTTTTACAGCTTTGGCACGATCATCAACAAGTATTATATTTTGTCTTTTCCTTATGTTTTCTATTGTTTTTCCAAATACTGAATTATTCATCAGTTTAAAAAAGTCTTTCTCAAAACTGTTTGCTGCTGTTTTTCTAAGTTCAGTATTCCTTCTGATGTAAGGCTCCATCCAAGAACTCTGATTGAATGATATTCCTCTGTGAACAGCAGTTAGTCTCATTGCCATCTTAAGATATTGCCTAAGATTTCGATAATGAACAACGTAGTTTTTTCTTGGTTTAAAATGACAAATTAGTTTTTCAACACCATTAACAATCATTTTCTCAGGTGCAAGTGGATAGTCATGATGTGATTTCCAGAAATCAGGGGGGTATTCCAAATCTACTTCAAATATATATCCTTTTTTACTTCTGGGTTTCTCTTTTTATCCAATAAATCATTTACAGAATCTATTGTTAAATCTTTCATCCATTTAAATCCATGTGTGGGAAGTGATTGTGACATTGCCCATCCGTAAAGATAATTTGCATCAAGGTATTGAAAATAAGTAGTTGGTTTACTAAAGTCGTAATTATCCATATATTTGTTATTCGCCTCTGCATATCTCTTTGATATGTGTGATATTCCTCCACGAATACCTTTTTCAAACATCATCAACATATCATAATCATGCAACAGTTGTAATTCTTGACCTGTTTCTTTGAGACATGCATCCCAGGCTAGTCCAGGAGATGTGTAGTAATGCGCGGGATCTAAATTGTAATGGTGGAGACAAGTTTTTCTAAGTTTTTCTTTTCTTAATTTTTTTGGAAAAGGAGATATACTTTTCTTCTGTTGATGGAATACAGGTGAGGTCGCCTGGTAAACAAGCAAGTTGTTTTATGAACAAATGAGCATCATAACCTTGAAGATTGTGAAATATAATTGGAAGAATCATTGGTTTTCGGCACTGAAGATTGCAATTGTTATGAGCAGCTCCACGGTATTGACCAGTAAAATGGCAATGATCTCTAACTTTATCAGTGAGTAATTCTTTCTTACAAATATGACAAGTTTCCGCTTTATCAAAGGATATTTGTTCAGCTGGTGTTAATTTAAGAGGTATTGGACGACAATAAAAATCATTATATGTTCTATTTATTACTTTTTTAAGTTTATAAACAAATAACGCAGAAACATTATAATCACCATTAGTTTTTGTGAAAAGACTTGGTTTAAATGTTATATTAGGATCTATTCCTTTAATGTAAAAACAAAATCCTGACGGTTCATGCTTTTGGTAATTGTAAGTATACGATTTTTCCGGGTTAGGACTGCAAGCATTCATTGGCTTGGTAAAACATTCAAAATCTGCATAAACTACAAAAGGAATTGGCAACTGTTTGTGATAATTGTTAAAACATAACATTGTGTTTCTTGGTGGCATACGCACAGAAACTGTTTCATTCGATGAACAATATGAAATATGTTTTTGTAATAATTCATACTTAGTAAAATGAGTAAAGCATTTTTTACAAATATATACTGAACCATTCTTACTTGAAGTTATTTTCGATTTAACCAAACGAGTAAAGTTTTTAATTAGTGAATAATGGGAAACACCATCTTCTTCATAAAAAAAAAGTCGATAGTATTTTGACAGTCTTTCTCTGCCATTCTTAAAGGATAAAACTTTTTATTATGACTAACTGAAAAAACATTTATTCCTGGAAGAGATGGATTAAGTTTTTCAAATTTGTAAATATGTTTTAATTTCATTGGAAAATTAATTCCTTCAGTGTTAAGAGAATTCTCATACTTTTTCAAATCCTTTAATCGGGTATCATTATCTTCTTTTGGATGAAGATACCTCAATAAACACCAAAGAAAGCATTTCTCATCTTTGTTTTGAATATTAACTATTGCCTTTTTATTTGATATCCAATCTGGAAGAGGAATATAAGATAAGCCCTTCATTGGATTAAACTCAGCAGTATGAATTTCAAGATTAAGCACTTCTTTAAAATACCATCCACTTCCATTTTTTTGATATACCTCTAAATCTTCAATAATTTTTTTAACATTTTTATCAATTAATTTCTTTACATTTGTTGATTCAAGATTGTTATGTGTACCTGAGTTAAAATATGCTTTATCTTCTTTTAACCCAACAACTCCCTTATCTTTACTAAGTATTTGTTGTTCCATTAAACATACCAAAACCATACTAAATTTAATATTTCGATGATATGTAAAAAAATCCTTTAAAGTTGCATAAATTTTATTAAAATATTCAACTGGAGTAAGATTAGGATCTCCTTCAATAATATACTTAACAGCAAAATTTTCAAAAGCTGATTTTTCTTTTTCAATTCCTTGTTCATATTCCCTAACAGCTCTCTCAAGAGCTTCACGAAGATAAGAAGGAGTATCGGAGGGAATTTCTTTATTTTTTATACATTCCTGAAAATATTCATCAAATGTTTTTATTTTTCTTGGTTTGGATTTTTTCCTTATTTTTAAAATATCAACACCTTTTTTTACTTCTTCATTAAATTTTTTTAATTTTTTAATATCATTAATTAATTTTTGTTTCTCACCTAATTCTTTAAAATTATCCTTAAGTCTTTTTTTTTCTTCTTCTAATACATATTTTAATTCATCCAAAGATAATCTACTATATTCTTTATCATTTATAAAGGGTTGAGAACCCTGAAAACCATCAATTGATTGGTTAGACATTACGTCTTATAATATTATTATTATATTATAAGACTTTAAATAGTTATTTATTAATCACTATCAGTGTCATTCATTTCATTAAGCCTTGATTCCAATTCTAAAATTCCGTCAATAAGTATTTCATCATTAAGAAATAAACCAAGCTCATAAAAAAACCCCGAACAATTATTTTATCTTTATTTATGATTAAATCAATAAAATACCAATCAACAATCTTAAGATTATCGTCAGAAGGATTATTAAGAGCCTGTTAGCATTTCTTTAACGACCCTCTTCCGCCCATTTTTGTCACGTCTGGATTCGGCTGTCTAAACTGTTGACACTTCAGTTAGCTACAAACATTCTCAAGTTTCTCGCGTGAGCATTGCACGCGACGCGAACTCCTTGTGCAATGTGTGGAAATTTATGTCTTCGAATTCGTTTTCCTGTGAGAGCATCCGTTTTTTTGGCTCTAGTTTATAGCAATAAAAGGGGGCGGTAAGTTTTTTCCTCTGTTGGGTAGGTTATGCTCTGGGAGGTTCTACATTGTCACTGAGCAAATGTGACTTTAGCCGCTTGTTTCACACTGAGAGGTCATGGCACACATATCGATTTACTGTGGTGTTTGTTTCTGGTCGGCAGGATTTGCCCTCTGATGAGAGAGAATTTTCTTTGACCTCTACTTTGAAGCGTAAAGCTTTTTATTGCGACTGAATAAGGGTTTTAATTTTCTCCAAAGTGCCTTCTGGATTTGACTAAAGTGATTTTCTTTAGTCCGTGAATGTAATGTTTTTCTGCAATGTTGTATCACGCTGGGCCAAGCTGGTTAGTTTTCTTTGCAGAATGTTAAATTATCACGGATAGTGATTTACATATCCTGAATTATAAGAATGAAGTGCAGCTTAAACTTAAGCTACATCAACCAAGGAGAATTGCATTGTGACTTAGTAAACCCCAGCTTAATAGTGTTTCTCTTAAAATAGTGTGAGTCTTTTGACTGGAGCGCATAGTTTCTCCCTTGGTAATAGCGGAATAAGCTTAACAGTCTTTGGACTGTTTTGTTATTGCCACTTTGTGATCAACCAGGACTCCGGATTACCGAAAACAATTTCACACTTTCCTTCTCTCGCTTTCTTCTCGTCCTCCTCTCCCTCTTCACCGATGCCAAATAGCTGCGGCCGAAAATCCAAGCTTTTTCTATTGTTCCACTTGGTCTCGCATTATAGATATCAGCGTCGAAACGACTTTTATCGTAGAGTTTTCTAGGGTTAGAGCAGCTTTAGCCAAGCGTGGGAATAGCTGAAAGATTAAACTTTTTCCGAAATCGGTGGGCATAATACCGAAAACATCTTTATCCCGAGCCAAGTCGCAGACACTCGTCTAAAGCACAAGGCAACGCGGATTCATGAAGATCACACGCGCGATTCGCGTTAGCCATCTTGGTGATGACAAACTGATGACCACGCTACTAGGCGATGATGTTAACTGTCACAATTGACCAATCAGAGGGTATATCAGGAGCTGATATACCGGAACAGGCCGTTAAAAAAATGCGTACAGGCTCCACCGCCCTTTCTCTCCCCAGCCTTCGCGCGTTTTTCACATTTCTTATACTGAACGACTTTCCACCACCATCTCGGAGCCTGGAACAGGCTAGTATGATTTATAAACGTAAGATAACAATGTGGCGGAATGTCTTGAGCGTTTGGTTCTTCTTGCAACACGAGAGGTGAGCTTTTATTTACATCATTTGTTTAGGGCTTATTTTATCTTTGTTCACCGTATCCGGTTCTACGCGCACGGTTTAACTGCGGTTCTGTGTCAAAATCGATTAGATTTTGTAGATTACACTGTATGTTAATGTTACGTTATGGGTGATGGGAATTTTAGAAGTTTTAGTAACTGATCAATGATTGATTTAAAATCTTGCTGTTAGAGATATACACAGAGAGATTCGATGAATAACAGTCTATTGGAGAGCGATTGATCTTTCACACTGTCGCGCACTGTGACACAAAGCGCGTTATCAAACCCGTCGATGGGCTCAAAATGTTTGCTTATTTCGCTACTGTCATAACTGATGAAGTTTTAGGCTGATTGTTCGTTTTTGTTTGGAGATACATTAGCACCAAACTGGATGACTGCTTAGTGTCTTGTTTTGTTGGCGGAGTTAGGGTTAATGACATTAATAATCAAGTTTGTGGCGTTTATAGTTACTGGTCACTTATTAAGTACTTAATGGGTGCATAATTAGAAATCGGATGTTTCCAGAACTGAGAATTCTCGTCAATTTTCTTCTGGAATGACGACGACTGAAATAATTAAAACTTTGTAATTAAATTAAATTAAATAAAACCCTTAAACACTTCTGTCGAGATAGCTCAACTCCAAGAATAGTGCCTTTGTAGCCGGAATGAGCTGTGCCTAGACGACGTCTTCTCATTTCTTTTGGCTGACTGTATCTGTCTATTGCATTTTGTTTGTCAAGTCCGTGACTGCTGGAATCAATTTTTTAATAATACCCCGAAAACAGTATTTAAAATCTGTTTGAAAATAAATTTGGTTGAATTTTTTTCCTTTAAAGTATATTTTTTACCATTGAAACAGCCGGTTTTTCTTTCAAAACACCCTAATATAAACAGCCTGTTTATAAAAATAAGTTAGGTTTGGAAACAGGTTTCCATTTTAAATACCTTTCAGATGAAAATGGTTTGCGAAAATCCTGTAAAAACAGCCTGTTTTAGTCCTGTTTGGAGACATTTCAAGGGGCTCGTCATTTCAAATCACAATTTAAATAAGCCACTTCCGAGTTCCATTTTGGTTTAAGTCGTCAAAAATATAATGAGAATACCTCAGTCAAAAAATACAGGTTGATTTGGTGCGGGCGTAGATGGGCCCATAACTGGGGGGCTCATATGTGGGGAAGCTTATAAGCGGCAGTTTACGGTATGTTATTTCAAGTTTTTCATTTTTCTTTCAGCATTTTTCTTGAAGCTTATTGCAATTTTGTGAAATTACTCAAACAGGACAGAAATCTTAAATCAAAGCATGCTAATCACCAATCCAACGTGATTCCTTTTCCATCGATATTAGTCAATTTTCTCGATAGCGTAGTTTTGCCGTACCGAATATGATCTATTAAACGCCCGGGGCTTTTATTAAATTTTGCGGGTCCAAGATGGAGCGTTTCATAGATGAGAGGCTTTTAAAGGAGAGAGGCGTTTATTCTTGTAACTTTTAATACAATATGCTTTCGACCAAAAACGTTTGTGTGTTAACAGAATCTCGACTGCGGGCTGACGGCTTTTGCACTTCAACGTCTCTTATTTTTTTTGTTTTTTGCTACAATCAAGAGGGTACTTTAAAGAGTGCGCACCGAGATCAAGAAGATCAAAGAGCGCTATCCTTACTTTGAACTTGAAATGGAACATGACATAATGCACAAACCGATGTTAATCAAACAATGAAATTAATAAATTGATTGATTTTGCTTTATTTTGCCATTTTCTAGTATTTTGGAGCAATTTTCACGGGGGGCGTTTATTAGAGAGGGGCGTTTAATACAAACTTAACAGCGTAGGCAAAGCGTTTATTAGATAAGAGGCGTTTATTTGGGAGTGGGCGTTTATTGGATCTTTTACGGTATTTCTAATCTGTCCAAAGACCCCTCCAAATTATCTTGACTGTTCTCATAGAATCTGTTTAAACTTGACGAACGCAACATTAACGTCAACGCCTCTATTTTTAATTATTTATTTAATTCTTAAATGGAGCCCTGACACAAACAAAACAAAGACATTAAACAATAAAGAGACGGCTATACAATTTAAAGTTATCAAGGCAACATGTCCAGGTATTATCGTCTAAGATGGCGTTTGAGGTAAATTTTAGATTCACTGAGCGTCTCTATTTACCCGATGTTTCCCGGTAGAGTGTTGTATGCGCGATCACCGTTTATTCTAAGGCTTCCTTGGTTGACTTTAGTTAGCAGTTTTCGCAAGAGGAGGGACGCAGCAAATCATGGCTTCTGGTGTTGTAGCCGTGAAGTTGGTGCAGGTGCCTAAACTCCGAAAGGAAGTTCAATGGCGCCATTCCATAAAGACATTTATAGACTAAGACCCACTTCAGATAGTCTCTACGCGCTTATAGGCACGGGCCAGATTTGCACCCAACCCCACAACTGTCCCGGACTGACGGTCAAACAATGGCAAGACTATTAATAATATTATAGAGCATTAGACACACAAGTAGATTTGGGAAGAATCTTGCGCGCTCGACGCAGAATACCTAATCTAGACGAGATCTTATTGCCAACATACTTTACATTGTCCTAATGAAACAACGACCCTTTCTAAGCGCGTATTACTCAGCCGCTGCAGTCCTCTGATGAGTACCAACAAGCATAATCTAAGTTTTTTTAAGATTAAGTATGAGAAAATTTGCGTGAAGCCAGCTAAGGACATTAGTTAGGCCACTAGTTAACTGAGTTTGACTTTCACTGTGTTTGCAAAATAAATAAGAGTATCATCAGCATAAGCTCGACGCTACATCCTCAAACTACCCAGAGACAAGTCATTTATAAAGATGATAATAATAACGGCCTCAGTACTCTACCCTGGGGGACCCCGAAAAATATAGGCTGTTGCTTAGACAAGATAAGACCCCCATTTGTACAAACACTTTGGACGCGCATGGTTAAATAGGACCTAAACCACTGGAGAGCAGAGCGATTCATTCCTAGTGAAGTTAACTTATCTAACATGATGCTATGGTCGTTAATTTCGTTTCTAGTATTGACCCTGGAATAGAAAGCTAGCCCGTGAAAAGTTTTTAAAATTAACCAAGAGTGATCGAAGAAGGATAATATATCCAACCCAAGATCGAACGATTTTGATTGGCCCTGTATAACAACCATCGCAACAACAACAAAAAAACGTAACTACGTTGACGAAAAAGCTGACAAAGATGCTGGAACGTTTACACTGGAGACAAAAAAGTATGACCTCTTTAAAATTGTTTCCTTGTTGACCTCTCGGGTAGGAAAATAATCCCAGCAGATTGCTAGGATTATTATTTTTTATTATTTTTATTATATGCTCAGCCACCGGGCCGTCTGAAGTCGGAACCGGAACACCCAGGGCGCAAGCTGAAACTTTGCGAACTCTTTGTGCTGGGTGTCAGTAAAACGCGGGCGGGGTCTATTTAAGAATGTTGTTTCGGGGACAAGGTTAGGGTTAGGGTTAGATTGACATTAACCCTAACCCTAACCATAAAACAGCATTCTTTAAAAACAAAGATAGACCCCGACCCTGCGTTTTACTGACACCCCTTTGTACTTTATCACCTTCCAAGAAGTACAATCGTCTTCTATAATCTAGAGCGTTTGACGTCGGTTTAAAGCTTCTGCTGCCGCCCCTAAAGGGTGTTAGAGAATTTAATTTAAGAAATTGATTATTTAGTTTCAATAAGGAAGTCGGCACTAGTTGTGGACGTTTTAAAACAGGGGTATTATGAAGAAGAAAATGACGAGAGCTGGAAAAGTTTTACAGCCCAGTGATTCTACATTTCCTTACGATGCCTTTAATGACTTACCTGACGTTGATGAACTAGCGACCTCGTCTAGCAAAATTTTCAGCTCATTAATTTTTTGTGCCAACATGGCGATATCCTCTTTGTCAGCAGTATCGGAAATAATACTCTCAAGCCATTTGATGTACGCTCGATTCGCCTCTTTAATTGCTTGCTCGAGTCTGCGAACTTCATTTGTCGGAAAGTCCGATTCCGTTAAGCTACCAACAGCGTCAATTGGAGCTGTCGAAACTCCGAGTGCGAGGAACGCATCTTTGGCACGTTGGACGCATTGGTCGAAAATCACTTTTTCCACCTTAGAACTGGACAAGTGACAAACGAAATTTCTAAGAAGGCGTAGCTGATCGATCGCTAATGCCCAGGTTTCCGCATTGTCTCCAGTTATGCTCATCACTGATGGGTGAAAATGTGAAGGTGACAATCCACGAGGCTTGATATATACTTCATTTAGCGTTCCATGATGTAAGGCGAAGGTTTGCGAGTAGATAGTGGCCTGGAACAAAGCAGTGCAATCCCATTCGCTGTAAGACTGATGAACAGGAACTCTGTTTTTGCTACCTTCTTCCGAGGCGAACAAATTTCTCACAGCAGTGGAATCATCCCAAAGCAGGAAACCAGGGCGATGTCCATATGTTTTGTCCCACATGGTTTTAAAGGTCTGTCTCAGGGCTCTTGGGAATTCATTGAGCACAAGGGAGGAGAATTTGAAATAATTCAAATCCTCTTCCCCATAAGGTTGCAGGGCCATTTCAGCTTAGACTTTTTACCTTATAAAGAGAAGACAAATGTACAATACAAAAAATATAGCCACCACATTATACAAAATAGTGTCTTCTTTGTGGAAGGGAGGTTGTTTTCAAAGCCGAATTTAATACAACACAGCTAAAAGTAAAAAAATAACAAATAACAAACATAAAAAATAAGCAACAAGGCAAAAACCGATGTCGGGGTCCATCTAGTAATAGTATCTACTTTTGACACTACAATCTGGTTTATTAACAGAACTGATACGACCTTTAAAGAGGGATTTAAGGTGGCTGAACACAGTTTTGGCAGTTTGTGAGTGTATGTCATTTGCCAAATCATGGCAGGAGAAAGGTTACAGCTCACAAGCTGAAACTTGGCAGGTGAAAAATATACTGATGAGAGATTTTGATTGACAGGTAAAATTTGACGTTTTCATAGTTTCCATGGCAACATGAACGATTGAATACAACCTTAAAATTTCACTTTTGTTTAGTTTACATAAAATTCGCTCATTAGATTTTCCTATAAACTTGCATACACATTAATATAACAAATCATTGCCATTTGAAACTTATTTGATCAAATTTTAACAGACGGACTTTTAGATAATCAATAATATAATTGTATTGTAGTTATTAAATGTGTCACGAAATCCGTCTGTTCAACGTCCATTTTAAAGTTTTTATTATCTAAAATACAATAAAAATAAAAATTCTGCCAAATATCACCAAATTTTGATGAGTAGATTTTGAGAAATCGTCTTCTGTGTACTATTGCTTTTTCGCCGCCATGTTTGTTTGTCTAATTAAAAACACGCGCGGTCACGCGAGTTACCGCTGACCACCCGCAAAACTGTGTTCAGCCACCTTAAGAGCTCACGGTTTGAGCGCTAGTTCGCTATGACTTTCCTTCCGACGTAGCTCTACATTGTCTTTAGAACATTAACTACCGCCCTGTAAGTCACCGACGAGTTTCTGGCTGAGGAGTAGAGAGCATTGGCGAAAGCTTACGATGAGCTTGCTATAAAAATTTACCAGGGAGTTAAAAGTGAATGAAAACTACTGCATTTCTCTGAAAAAATTATTGCGGCGCTAAATAAATTGTCCCTCTTGACAAAAAAATAAATTGTTCCGCTTTGCCACCATGTTGAAGTCATCGTTTTATACAGCTACGAAAGTCAAAGCCATGGCGAAGTACAATCCGCAAATCAAGCTAAATCATGAACTCGGTATTTTAGTAATGCTTTCATTGTTACTAATACATCTTTTTGTTTGTGTCTATTCCTCGTAACACTACCCTTTCTGAGAAATTAAAAACAATTTAATATTTTCTCTCCAAAACTTCGACCAAAAGTTTGGCAAACTGATATTAGAAATGATCAACCTGAGCAACGTCACACTCAAAATACAAGTACAATGAATTCAATTATTGCGGGCATTCACAATGAATGCAATGATACCTTCTGTTCAAAATTAATAAATAAGGGAAAGGAATTGAAAGAAGACAGCAAGACTAATTCGTCACGTAGAAAAAGAACAAGTGTTTGTGTAAAATCGGCAAAGTGTTGGAGCAGGCAGATCGAAAGTTCATCTTCAATGGTTAAAATAATTCCACGGCTGGTTGAGTAAGCGAACAACCTCCGCTCCACCAACTTAAAAACCCATTTACTGCGGTTCTATGAAAGAAAGGGCTTTCCAGTTCCAAAAAATAAAACGTCCTTTGATTTTTGCTTCAGTTTTGGAAGCAGAACTCGATTAACCTCACCGATAGTATAGGCAATCCACTGAATCCAAAGGAAGTCGAGCGAGATCAAATCACAGTGGCTACATCTCAATAGCATTCAGCGAGCTGGCGATCTTACAAAAATAAATCATAACATTACCTCGAATTCCTTTCCTCAAAATCCTGGCATGATATATATCTTCAAGGATACAGTGAATAGAACAGGTAATAACAGTACTGACAGTCACTTAAATTTTTGGGTGATACTTCTGGCACGACATCTGCAAATGACACTCGACTGCTGTAAAACTTCCGCTTATAAGCCCCCTCCCCCCACTTAAAAGCCACCCGTCCCCCGTGAAAGGCCCATCTACGTATCTGCAAACAATTAAAATACATCCGGTTATAGCCCCCCCTCCCCCGGCGGCCCGGCCCCCATCTCCGGCTTTAAACAAATAACACTATTTTTTATTCTTTTGTTTACTTCTTCATCGCCTTGCCGTAAGGATCAGTTTGCCGTTTCATATTTTTCTTTAGCCCCCCTCCCCCGGCCCCCATCTCCGGCTTTAAACAAAAAGCACTGTCCGGGGTTAGCCCCCCTCTAGCTTGTATTAAAATGAGTTCGACTTTTTTACGACGTTATGAAGCTTAAAAAGCGAAAAAATCAACAATTATCTTGATCAGCACTGCTATGCAGCCCATTTTGAAACGATTTTTTACTGAGTCCGATTATATCATCCTCCTCCATTTATAAGTTTTCCTAAAGCCCCTTACGAAGTTGTATAAGCCCAGGGCTTTATAAGCGGAAGTTTACGGTATACAACGCTACCGTATCAAGAAGAGAAATAATTTGTCATTAGAGAGTCTACGAAAGGGGTTCCTTTCTGCAAGAGAGGATAGCCCCTTTATCCTTTCTTGCTTTCTGTCAATAATAATATAAAGAAGCGTAAGGGGTTAGTATAGTGAACCTCGATCGGAGCGCAGCTTCCTTGTATATCGCAAATCCTCTATTAAGACCCCCAGGGGCATATTTATTTCAAAGCCCATTGAGGGGGGCTTATTTGGGAGAGGGCGTATTTAATTTAGAAAAGACGATGGTATCAGTTCTCCATTAAGAACTAGCCAACAAAGAGAAAAAGCTCGGGTACAAGAAGTTGGAGGTCACGCAGCCGAGGATCAAATTCCAGTTAGTGAATAAACCATCCCTGATCAGTTCACACGAAGTTTTACAGTCGTGATTGATTAATACAGTCTATCATTTATTAGTGAAGAATAATTAGGGGAGGGGAGGGGAGCTTATTAACTTTCTTCCCCCGAAAAGAGGGGAGAGAGGGCTTATTTGAGAGGGTGGTTAATAGAGGATTTACGGTAACACTTCTTAAATCCTTCTCGTCAATATTTTTCCTTTAATGGTTGATAATCTTATCCCGAAAGTCTGCACGTACATAACGTTGAGGCTGATTACACAGGTGATGTCCACACGATGTATTTATAAGGATCCACAGGCGGCATCCAGCGCCTCATTAACGATGTAACTGCACGATCATGACGTAACTTTCTTGAGTGAACGACTGAGTGTGTTTACGAAAGGAAATGGTCTGAAGTGAAGACATCAAGTTGACATCGACCTGACAGCAAAAAAATCTATAAAGTAATTCCATTTCTCTTTTTCTTTCCTTAGTTCATCTTTTTTTCCCTTTTTTTTCTATTTTTCATTTTTCTTGAAGAAGAGACAAAGTGAAAATGAATGAGAAATTAGCTATGGATTGTCGGACATTGTCAAGAATCAACGTCATGTTTTCGAATAAAGCAGAGGCATATCATGATCACAAAGAATAATTATTCAAAATGGCGGCGAGCCGGAAATTAGAAAGCAAAATTATTGATTTGCGTATCAGTTTTTGGTCACATCGCTTTCTCTACAAACAATGGAATTTAAACCTCCCTCCAACACTGAGTCAAAATCAAATTGCTACAACAGTGGAGGATTTCAATGAATCAGTACAAGCTGCTGACGTCGAAGCGTTCATACTGAGAGAGGACCTCATGAAAATTGCCCCATCATCATTTGTTGGCATATGTGACATATTTGAGTGAGAGAAAAGATTTTAGTCTTGTTATTCTGCTATCCTTCGTATCGCTCATCCTGGACTCATTCGACTTCAACTGATTCCGGGTATTAGACAAAGATATTGGGTAAACTTAGTATCTTGTTAAGGAATTTTCAGGAGCCGAAGGCGAGTGATTTACAAGCTTTTCGAGTGTTCTCCCAACATCCCGCGTGGGTTATCACGCCGGTAAACCCATAGAAAGTGTGGTCTATTGCTTTTATAAAATAACTTTTAGTAGAATGGAGTCTTTTCGGTAAAAAATTTGGTTTTAGTACCGTGATCAAGTCACGTCTTCTCTCTAAAGTCATCATAAGCCAATCATGACTCACGATTTAATAGCGTTGAACTTTCTTAAAACTCACTTCAGTAAAACAACAAACAGCAGCACTTCAAAACACGAGTTTTTGCACTCATTACATGATAACTTATGAAAGCTGTTTTACAGGAAAAGTCAACATTTATTCAAGCGAACGTACAATGAAAAAATACGTTCATGGTTTGTTTACTACCGAAGTAGAAATTAATTGAACATCAGACTGTACGCCGCTGTATTTTGTTGAGCCGATCAGTAAGAATTTTGTGCTTACAGACGGAACTGGCAGCTATTGTAATGGAGGACTTCATTCACATTTTACAAGCCGCAGTGGTTTCAGATCTGTTTTCTGGACTTTATTATGATTAAGAAATGCTGCGGTAACGACGTGGCTGCATTTGCGAAGTTGTCGCATGTAACTTTCATATGCACGTACAGCGACCGATGGAAATATGTCAGTGGTGGAGAAAAGTTTGTTTGCCGTAGCCACATATTGGCGTTAATATTTGTCGATTTGTAAAGTCAGGTAGTTTGAGGTAGGTTATGGCATCCATATCACCGAATAATATGTGCAAATGTTGGAAAAAACCAGCCCGAAACTCTGACATCTTTCATCATCGTTGGCAGCTTGTTTACAACCTACAGCGGCCGATTTTGTACCATATCTTGATCAGAGATCTCTTTTTGGAACAATTTCTTTCATTAAGGAATTTAATTTTGACATAAAATAAATCAAGAATGCTAAAACTATCCGTTTTGTTGCTGGTTGGCACATGGTCAAGTTTTCCTGGAGACTTTCTACACCAGAAATTCACACAGTTGTTGCCTTTCTCAGCGATTTGGCATCGTCGTGAAATGTAAACTGCTTTCCAGCTTTGTACTTTATTACTTCTAAAGCTATGGCAGTAATAAAATGTGAAAACCAACGCTTTTGATATTAAGAAGGGCTGGGTAAGTAACTTGTTCTTTTTTTAGCCTTTCTAAAATCATTGTTTGCAGATCAATAGCCGGTTTTGTTTATGGCGCGTGGTCCGGATGCCTTTTTCTATGGGTTTACGGGTATAATAAACCATAGGTTTTTGACCAATCAGATCACGCGTACTATCTCAGTTATTTTATAAAAACGAATGAACTAAAATTATAAAAGCAACTACACGATGGCGACGTCGTATACCATATAGCTCTAACGCCGCTGCAAATACCATTTAGGATAGGGTTTCTCTTCACACATTGAGACGCTGATTTCGTCGCAGTTTCTGTATCGGTGCGAAGTTGCGCCGCGCCGATCTTAGTGGATCGTCAAATATCGGTACAGATAGCTTTTCACGTCGACTTGAAAAGCCTTTCGATATGTAGGGTAGACATACCCCGTAACCTACACACTGAAGAAACCCGAAATTAATTCCGTATTTCATGTTTTAAGGAGGATGTAAACACAAAAAGGCAATTATTCTTAAATTCATTGAATTTGCATACGGTTTCGTACGAATGAACCCTCAAAATTCGCCTCCGAACGCGTTTGACAAATCGAACGAGGCGGAATTATAGCGATGAGATAAAATGGCGCGAATTTATTTTAAAGGACATTTTAGCTGCCGTTGACGTCGCGTGGGTGCCTCAATCCTACTGCAAAACTAGTGAGGTCGTATATGAGGGGTTTATTAGTTTATGATACACATACTGAGAAATACTCACCAAAAAGCTATGTCGTAAATTTTCGTACGCAAATTAGTTCTAGCCAATCAGAGGAGCGAACGATGGTTTTCACACGCGAAAAAAATGATACGTCCAATCAGAACCGCGAACGATGTTTTTTCACGTGTGAGAAAAATGATACGTCCAATCAGAAGCCACAGAGGTGTGTGACTTTCGCGTCAAAACTCCCGCCTTTTATTGCAGCTTGCAGCGCCGCTTCGCACAAATTCAACGAGGAAAGTTTAGTTAAAGAGTATATCTCGCTAAAAAAGTGAAAAACATTTCGGAAATGGAGTAGAATAGTTTCGTTTGTTTCACTGTCGATAAAGAAAACGGTAGAGAGCAGGCGAAACAACAGCGGAAAGGGATAAACAGAACGAGACGTAAGCTTTTGTTGTGCTTTTGTCGGGGCTACTTTCCCTTTCATTTAAGCTTAAGCTTATATTGAAACCGGCCATTTTACTTAAATTCACTAATTTTCAATTGTACATTGAGAACAAACAGTTAAGATTACTTATAGTTCTTGGATTACCTCATATCCTCACCGTCATTTATGTTTTTAACAAACGTTTTTACTAAAATGCTGATACTTCGTTTTCGTTGTCATTTTGCGGTAAGTGTGTAGCGGCAAATTTTAGCACTTGTGAAAGATTTAAAATAAAAAGGCCCTCAAAATGATGAATGTCTCAGTATGTATATAATAAACACAATACCACATGGAAAGTGCTTTGTACGGTATTTACGCACTCGTTGTTTTTGTATCAGAAATCTTACTCGTTCGCTGCGCTCACTCGTTCGATTTCTGATACGTCAACAACTCGCGCGTAAATACCGTACGCCAGCACTTTCCATGAAGTATTCTCTATATGTTTAATGTAATATAAATAGTAGTATAGGAGGGATGTTTTAGGCCTCTTTTTTGGGCAGGAATCTCATTAACTTGGGCAGGAATAAATTAACGCCAATGACGTCATAGGCTATTGTCTTGATCTCATGAATAAAATGCGCAGGAATCTGATTACGATAAGGTCGTGTGTTATTTTTAGTTGGTTTAAGTTTTCTACTTACTTTAATGTCGATAGACGTCTTCCTTTTCGATTGGTTAGTTAGAAAATAAGAAACGTTTTCATTGGTTAATTCATAGTGTCTGAGGAGTAAAGTCAAACTTGTCTGTGACTTAAAATCACTGAGACGTAACGTAATTATGCACTTCCTATTTCCTACTGCTGTGATTGTCCTTGTTCTGGTTCACTGATTTTTGGCGGGCAAATCGTGTATATTAAAGAGGGCAAAGGCAAACTAGCTCTTTTTTTACACTGCAAGCAATGTTTTACTTACCCCTCTCCTTTTCACCCTTTTCACCCGGCCCTGTATATCAAAGCGCGAGGCTGGCATCCATATTCCTATAACATTCATAACAGCAGGCAAGTGAAATATCTGCATGTTCATGACATTTTATGCCACAACGACTATTTCTCACGATAAACATATAGTTATATTGGGTTCTACATGCACGACGAACCATAGTTAATATCAGATTGGCTCCGCCATGTGGAACAAGTGCCAGTCAAGCATGGGTAGCCAAGTCTAAAACCTTCTTCGTTGTTCGTTTTGAAGTGTGGGCGCGCAGCAGAAACGCGAAAGAATCTACAATGCATTGCCAGATCAAAACGTCTTGCTAAAGACGTGCGTTGTATTAGTGAGTCTAGCGTCGGTATAGGATTCGCAAAAACCTTCTCGCAAATATCTTATTCTCTAAGACACTATTAATAACAATTCATTCTGACGACCTTGACTGTAGTATATAAGGTTGCGTCGTATTCACCCAAAGTTATGTCCCGAATGTATGTCCCATTTAGGAAAATGTTTCGAAATTTTTTCCCCGTCGCAACATGCTAGTCTTATTATGTTTTCTTTTCGTCGTTCTCTAGCCATAGGTTAAGAACGGCACTCGCTTTTCTTTTCGTTCGAAGTTACTTACTGGATACATGAAACAGGCTAATCCCCATAACATACTTATTATGTTGAATGTTCAATCTTCTAAACAGGTATGGCTTTGCAGCCTTATCAGGACGAGGAGTTAAATTTCTTCAAGTTCGCGTCTCTTGTGCTGAACGAATTTCCAAAAGCATTACGGCAGAAATTTAAAAGCATGTGGGACGGCACCTATGGACATCGCCCTGGTTTCAAACTCTGGGATGATTGCTCTGCTGTGAGAATTTTGTTCGCTTCTTTGGAGGGAGACAAGAACAAAGTTCCTATTCACACTTCTTACAATGAATGGGACTGCACTGCTCTCTTTCAAGCAACCATTTACGCGCAGTCGTTCGCTTGCGGCCGCTCTTTCACTCTTAGTGATTTGTACCTGAAGCCGTTAGCACTACCTCACGATTCTTTCCATGCTTCAGTCACGAGCCCATGTGGTAACGAAGAAGAAACTCTCGCACTTGCGATTGACCAGCTGCGACTTTTAAGAAATTCGCTTTGTCACTCAGTTAGATCTTTGATGGATAGAGAAACGTTTGATGAGAGAATGAAACAAGCTAAAGACGCGTTCACAGCCCTCGGAGTCGTCACAGACCTCCTTGACGCCGTTGCCAGTTTGGATGAGTCACATTTTCCGACCAATGAAGTTCATACATTAAATAAAAAAATCAGAAAGGAGTCTCAGACGTGCGTCCAGATGCTTGAGGATGTAGTTGCAAATGTTGAAGAATGGAAGCGCGACACCGCTACCAAACAAGATATCGCCATATTGTCACTGAAGATTGACGAGCTTAAGGCAGCTCAGGAAATACGTGAGGCTAATTCAACAGGTGCGCAAAGTATGCCTACAAAGTTCTGACTAAAGCAACATTTTGGAAAGATTAAGGGGATCCACATTCCGGAATGAGCGAAATTTTCGCTTGTGAATTCCGGAATCCTAGGCTTTGGAATCCGGAGTACAGTTCAAGGTATCCGGAATTCGAATAATACCGATTGGAATCCAGAATCAAAGTTCCACTGACAGAGAATCCGGAATTTAGTACATGGAATCCGTTAAGACTGTCTTGGATTATCTTAACTGGGGCGAGATTTAATTAGTTCTAAAACTAGTTTTTTAAAGTGTTACCTCTGCTTCCCTACCTTCCCAGTAATTGGGTCCCTGCGTAGCCAAATACAAAAGTGCATTGTGGTCACAGGGGTAAATTTTAATAGGCATATCATATAGGGTAAAAACGAAACATCATTGTTCCTTGTGAATTTGTTTTTCCTTTAAACTAATTCTCTTGTTTGCAGTTTTTCAATCACAGCTGTCCGTAGCAATACCAAACCACAAAACCAGTAGTGAATGCTCTGGCTGAGGCCTTGGAAGCTTCAAAATGATTTTAGTGGAATCAAATATTCTGTTAGGTCTTGTGAGAATGAATGTATGTATAGTTGGCAGGTAAAATTCAATAATGAAATTATACATTATATATTCTGTTGACTCAGTTAAGCATAAAGTGGTTATTTTTCTGCTTGGGAATTCCTTAGAAGTTTCAGGAACATGATATTTTAACATTTAGTTTGTTACGTGTAAACAATCAGGACCTTATACATATAGCTCGTTTAATAAAGGTTGCTTTGGGTATTGGAAATTGAGTAATAGTATATGTAAGCTATTGTTTGGTGGTCACCCAGGGAAATCATTGAACAGTTACGACACATAGATATATTTTTTAGCAACTACTATAATTTGCAGTCTGTCCACTTCGAATTTCATTGTTTGGTATACCCAAATGCCCAATAGCCAACCTTTATTGAATGAGCTATACACTGTAGCTTCTGGAGAAGCGACAACCACAAGCTACAAATGACATCCAGTATTTTTATTGATTACGTTCTAAAACAAAATTTCCTAATAATGTCTTGTCTATACAGAAAATATGCAGTGACTTTGTTAACCTCTGCATCCTGCATCCCTGATGCATAAAAATTCCCAAAGAAGCAAAATAATAATATTCATGGCATGCATTCCAATGGACACAAAAGATCAATAAAAAATCTGAACATGTGTATTTGTAGAAATATCCCGTTCATTTATTCTGTGGCAGTTATTATGGCTGTTGTTGTTGTTTTTTTATAGACATATTTATCGCAACATTTGCTCTAAGAGCCTAAAGGGCTCATCTAGATAGCTTACACTGTTTACATTTGAATATATTAAAAATACAAATGTACGTCAAGATCAAACACGCACGCACAAAAAAGTGAAAAAATAAATATAAAAAACACAAAAAAATGTATATATATTATAAAAAAATACACACACAGCAGCTAACAGAAGAGATTTGATAGCGAAATAAACGACTGGACAAGCTGAAACAACCTAACGTTAATTTGAAAATCAGCAGTAAAAATACCATTTAAAAGCCAATCGATTTTTTCTTATCTGAGGCACAATGTCATATATTTCCACGTAATTGTGCAGCGGAGGTAAACAACTTTTCACACAGAGCAGCAAAACTTGGGCAGTATAGGAAATGATGTTTCGCATCTTCAATAGATGCATCACAAAGAGCATAGGCAGGCACAGGGCAGCAATTTTTCAGAAAAAGGTGATAACTTAAGGCACTAAAATTAAGTCTCAAACGAGGGTGAAAATTGACGCTGAACAATCCCCGATATAAAAAAGATAGCTGCGGGATGGAAAATGCAGGAATTTTGTTGTTGAAGGATGCATATTTCTTTTAGCCTTTGTTTTGCTTTAAACTAGAAGAACTATATTTTAATTTCAGTGTAACTGCAGTAATACAAAGTTTTGGAGTCTGTCAAGTCTGCTTATAACTGTTTGGTCACATAAAGGCCCAAGCATTTTCAATCTCTGGGACTCATTGGTTCTGGAGTGGGACTCAATATTTTTCACAAGATGAGTCCCAAGACTCACCATGACTATTTGTAACCAAAATCACTGTTTTATTTCTCTAGTAGCTTTTTAATTTTTTCTGGTTCCCTCAGTGTCTATATTAACAGAGTTTCACAGTTTGAAAAGTCATATAATGTCAAACAGTCATGCAGACTGCTTGTGAAAGTAGGACAGTGTCAGGAAAATTAATGCCAAAACAGTGCAATGTATAAGAACTCTGTTAACAGATTAAATTTTGTATTCTAATCCCTCAATTAATGGTGGACGAAAATTGCCTTTCCTAATAACAGTACAACTTAATGATTGTTGGATAAAGAAGCTACACGGAATGTTCTTACATTTCACTACGTTTTGCCAATTACAGTACTTGTTATTATGAAACTTAGCCTTAGAGAAGAAATTACCTCAAAGCAACGACGTTTTGTGGCGAAATTTGCCCAAGGACATGAAAAACAAAAGCATGGGCTTACAACAGTGATACTGACAGCGAAAGAAGATATCATCTTCCCGGATGAATTGTTTCACCTGATGGTAGCTTCCTTTAAATATATTTAAAAAGCTACCTTAAACTTTAGGACTGGCCAACTCAATAGCTTTGAGAAGGGTCTTTGTTTTCATGTTGATTTATTTGCCTGTTCACACTCCAAGCCATTTTATAGGATATCCACGAACCAAGGTACCACTGAACTGCTTTCTTGCTACCATCCAAATGTAATTTCAGTTATCTATATCAACAGCTCGTCTTCGACTGCTGATTGATTGCAAGGAATTGAGAGGACTCTGTCCGCAGGAGGGACCTACGGGGGTAGTAGTAACCCAGCCGGGAGACCCAGCAGAGCCCCAGGAAGCGGCATGTAGCCACACCTCTGACGCAGGGACTATGGCTGCAGCAGGTCCAAAAGCGATGGCTGCAGAGGTACAAGCATCAAAGGAGACCATAGGAGTGGTCCAGCCAACAGCAGTGGCCACAAATAATTTGGCACCAGAAAGTTTTGGAAATGGAGCGGTTCCCTCTTCACAGCAAATTTTGAATGCTATTGCGTCAAAGTACCTACAGTCAATTAACCCGTCAACACCAGATGAGTTTAATGATTTTATTCAGTACACGGAAAAGGTGCGTAAAGTTGTCATTGTGGATGTTAAAACTGGAAGTTTGATAGTCACAGTGGAATGCAGCTCTCTTAAAATTATCGACGAACTCTGGGAAGACTATCGCAATGGCCCAGAAATTCCTTGCGACAGAGGAAATTCTAGTAGAGTTTGGCCTAGCTGAACTAAAAATCACAACAACTATTAACGAAGAGGAATACAGAGCTTGTCGTGAGCTTTTTTTCAATCTTCCAAAGAAACCAAATGCAGTCCCAGGTAAAAAAGCGGAAGCTAAAAGCACTCCTGATAGGTGATTCATTCTTGGGATTACCCGGCATGAACAAGCAGCCCTTCAGTCTAAACAGCGTGCGCTCGACATCAGAGTTAAAAAGTTTGGAGAAGAACACAAAAGCACTGCAGACGGTTACTAGTCTCCGGGGAGAATGGAACATAAACTCGGCTACTTTAATTCAGCCATTCAGTCTCACCAGCGTGCGTTGTTGTTGGCCATTCGCATTAAACTATCTGGAGAAGAACACGAAAGTACTGCTGACAGTTACTACTCCCTGGGGATAACACAACTTGAAAAGGATGACTTAAAACCAGCTCTTAAGTCTCTTCAGTCTGCGCTGACCATCCGTGTTAAACTGTTTGGAGAAAAACACAAAGCCACTGCTGAAAGCTACTACTCAATAGGGTTAACACAACAGAAGATGGGCTCCCTCCGACCAGCCCTTCAGTCCTTCCGGCGTGTACTGGCCATTAATATTAAACTGTTTGGAGAAGAACAAGAAAGCGTGCGCACAGCAGACATTTATGTCCATCTATGGACAATACAACATGAGCTAGGTTACTTTAAGTCAGCTCTTCATTCTAAAAAACGTGCGTTGGCCATACGTATTAGTCTGTGTGGAGAAAAACACAAAATAACTGCTTACTGTTATCACTTACTCGGGATGCCCTGGCCATCCGCATTAAATTGTTTGGAAGAGAACACCAAAGTACTGCTGAAAGTTACTGCTCTCTAGGAATAACACAACACAAACTAGGTAAATTCAAATCAGCCGTCAAGTCTAAACAGCGTGGGCTTGCGGTTCGTCTTAGACTGTTTGGAGAAGAACATAAAAGCACTGCAGAGAGTTACCACTCTCTTGGAATAACACAGCAAGAGCTGGGTGACTTAAAGTCAGCTCTTTTGTCTCATCGGCGAGCTCTGGACATTTGTTTTAAGCTCTTTGGCGAAATACACGAAAATACTGCTGACAGTTATTACCAACTTGGTATAATCCAGCGAAAACTGGGCTTTCTCAGAGCAGCTTTAAATTGTCATCAACATGTGATCTCCATTCGTATTAAACTCTTTGGTGAAAAACACAAATGCATTGCTGACAGTTACTACTCACTAGGAATAGCACGGCGAGGACTGGGTGACTTGAAATCAGCTCTTCGGTCCAACCAGCGAGCGCTGGCCATCCGTATCGAACTCTTTGGAGAAGAGCATAAATGCACCGCTGACAGTTACTACTTACTCTGAATAACACAGCTAGAACTGGATGACTTAAAATCAGCGCTTGAATCTCACCAGCGTGCACTTGCCATCCGCATTAAAGTTTTTGGAGAAGATCACAAAAGTACTGCTGACAGTTACTACTATCTCGGGAAAATACGATGGAAACTAGGTGACTTAACATCAGCGCTTCAGTCTCATCAGCGTGCGCTGGCCATCCGTATTAAAGTCTTCGGAAAGAACCACCAAAGCATTTCCAAAAGTAAACTTAAACTAGAGGAGATACAACGCACATTGGAGCCGGGATCAGTCAAAGAACCTTGTTAGTCACATTTGTGTGCGCTGGACACCCATTTGCCTGCGTGCAGACGTCTCCTATTTCCTTTGTTGCGCGCGGAAAAGGGACGTCTGCGTAACGCCTTCGCTAATCGTGTTCCAGCGTCCCGCTGGATTCCCAAGATTTTGGGAACATGCTGCGATAGGCTGACACACAGTGCGCATTGTTTGACTTAACGCTGATTGGTTGTTATCGAATCTGGTCTGATAATGTATGCTATGATTTATGTAATCGGGGTTTTCCAGCCAAAACAAATCAAAACGTGTGCCATTGTGTGCAGACCGTTCGAATCTTATGCAAGGCCGTGGAAAATTTAACGTGTGCGATGAAATAATTTCTTTACAATTTACTGTGAATGACACAAAGGCATCACATCATATTTGTAAACAGTGTCTGAGAAAACTACAAAAGCGGCGTGGACTTCGCACCAGGCAGGCATTTCGAAGAAAGCCAGCCAAAGAAACTGTAATCTTTATTTAGGCGTAACAAACAGAGGTCAAACAAAATTAATTTAAACACTTTACAACTGCATCTGAAATCAAATCCTATCAGGAACACCCACAGAAGCATAAACCACAGGAAATGATTACTCAGTATGCCTGTAACAAACCTGCTTCATGACCTCTAAGTGTAAGACTTAGCGCGGCAAAAACGAGATTTACTCTGTCAAAGTTTAGAATGCTACATGAACTGTGTAGTGCTAGTAACCTTTGCGCGAGAGAGAAAAGAAGAAAAACTTCTGTTCAAGTAGACTCTCAAGGTCACGTTTCGCTTTTTCACGAGCTTATGATGTTGTGTTTGGCCTGTCAGCTCTTATTTCTAACCGGATATTATTTCACAATTTATGCGAAATAGAATACGTGTTTCAGCGGCACGATTAGCGACGGCGTTACACAGACGTCCCTTTTCCGCGTACAACAAAGGAAATAGGAGACGTCTGCACGCAGGCAAGACACCCATTTAGTGATCATTGATTTAAACCTCATTACACTCTTTTAAGGCTGTTTTTGAATTTTGACATCAGAAACATTGCATTGGAAAGAACAAGCCAAGCGCTTAAAATCCGATCTGTAGCCGGGATTGCTTTACTGACTGACTTGACTGAGTTTTTGAGAACTGAATTTTCAGCGTATTCGTCAGAATGATGCTCATTATCGCTATGGAAGTGATCACTTAGGAGCGACGGTCACGAAAAATTGAGCAAAATCTTGATTTTCTGACGGGAGTTGAAAAATCAATTTCTTTCAGGTTTTGTTCATAAAAAAGCTGTAAGGTAGATAAGAAACCTGAGTTTGATTGTTCCCATACCCTCGGGGACCTGACCCGCTGTGGCTTAGTAAACGTTTGCCGCTTAATAAGTGTTTCTGTTTACAGTGTTTACTGACAATTTTGTCCCCTGGAACTTTGTGGTAACTGGCCACTAAAAAGGGGACGGCCGCTCCGAAGGATACGGTTTAGTAGACGTTGGACCATATTCATCCCTATTACATAGTTTTAACGCGAGTTGAACCAGAAAAACATGCTGGTGTTTTGCAGTTTAGCAAAATGGTCAAAACTATGGTATACATATGTACAGCTAGGAGCCACCACTCCACGGAAAGTTTATTTGTAAGCCCCCTCTCTAATAATAGCAGAAAATAGTAAAAGATACTTAGCTGCTGCATTAAAGGTTGTGTATTTTATGGTAGATTACTATACCCATGATTAACAATTACCTTGTCATATATTTCTTCTTTAGCGGCCAAAATTATCTTCACCGGTAAAATTAGCTTTCTCATCGATGTCCAGCTCTCATTGAGCAGAGTCTACCGTAACTCTAACCTTTCTTGGGTGGTTTTAGTAGGTTTTTAAGTAACAGGTACAGATCAGAACTTACCAAGAAAGAGTATACAACAGTTGACTTTTATTCGTAAATGGCAGAGTTCGCCATTCATCTAGAGTTCTAAATTTGCAGTTTTTAAAACCTAAGGAGAGTTCTTATACTGTGTGAAATACAGCATTCGATGTCAGAATCTTTTGCACAATGATAATCAAGATAGTATCTTAGTCGTATGTTTTGGTACAGTCCCTGCGCCCCCAAAAAAAAAAAAAAAAAAATCCTGAGCCAACAGCCAAGGCCATTTCGAGTTGAATTGCCTCGATAAAGTGAGAGTTTTGTGGAACTAGAAAACGATTTAAGGCGCTAATAAGCGCCGGCCGGCCGCGTCTACCTTTCTTCTCACATGTGTGGCCTCCTCTCGCGCGCATCGTATATCTCGCACGCCACGCTTGCAGACCATTTACAATAAGTCTCCGGAAAATCCGGTTGGAAAGTAAATGGAACACAACTTTTTGGGTCGTTCCAGCGGAAGATTTCCGGGAGCAACGGAACATCTGGAAAGGTAGTCTTGTTTTTTTCCGGACGGAATGTTCCAAAGTCAACGAAAATTCGTGTTCCATTTCTTCAAAGCCATCTCACACTTTCGCGGCCGTTATTCGGTAAATGGAACTGATTTGAACAAATGGTAAACGCGATTCCGGTGGGAAATTTATCAGTCCTGAATTTTGCTTGACATTTGCCCAAACCGTGAGCCGACCGGTTTCCCCATGTAAATTGTAAACAACCCACATTTCCTTTGCACGGCGAATCCATGTACTCAATAAAATAACAGTTGCAAATCCTGTGGGTGCCCTGTGATCCGCTTGCAGAACAGGCGTTATTTTTTTTCGCTTTTTCCTTTCGCAAATAGACTTATCTTTCGCCTTAAAAAAGAGTGGAACCACACAACCGAAAATAAAACTTAGTCGGTATCTCATATTACCAGATTTTTTTCTTTTTGACACGCTCTCACCAAAGTAACTGTATATAATAACTTTTAAACAACAATTATTTAAATCGTAAGGGCTGGCAAAACGGCAAAAGGTCGTCGCGTTGAGCTTCGTGTCACATACTTATCAATATTATGGTCGTCAGGCCAATATGATTCATCTAATAATAAAACACGTCTTCTTTATGACCAGGGCCAGTGCTATGTGGAAGGATATTGCCTTTTTCAAATTTGAGAAGGGAGGAAAAAGTTTCTTCTCTTCACTATAAGCTTTATTTCTTCATCTTTATCCTCTTAGTGACTTGACAGAATGGACTTGCTCACCGTTAATCTTTTTTTCCTGTTCTGACCGCTCTCTAGGCCAACAAATTTATTTGCTCATTTATGAACTCTCAGTCGTACTGTGCCCTCGCCTTAAAGACCCTTAAAGTTTTATCGATCACGGAAACAGTCAATGGAAACAGATTAACGGCATGAATTGTCTTTTGCGCGTAATCCAGTGCGGCGTGCGTGAAAGGTGAATGTTTCGTTACCAGGCTCCACAGCGGTGTATATCTTGGTCAGTTTGTCTCAGTGTTTTGGTATTTTCAGTTTCCATTTCCTGTTTTTCTTTGAATTAGGGATACTCCCTTTCTTATTGAATGCAGATACCCCAGGGGTACCGGTTGCATAGTCGACTTTTGATTGTTCAAAAATCAGACATTTAAGTGATCAGTCTGGTACTTTCTGCTCTATTTATCGTGTCCTTGAGGATCAAGATATCGGGATTTTTAGAAACGGCGGTCAAGGTATTGTTATAATATGTATTTGTATGATTGCTAGTTTAGTGATTGTTACTTTAAGATCACATATGGCCAGTACGAGTTGATCTTGGCCGAGTAAAACCCGTCGGGTTGCTTACTATCAAGGAGTATTTCTTAAGAAGAGGTTACAAGAGTTTTAAATTCCATAAAAGGTCTATGCATGCAAACGATTTTCCTAACAGCAGAAAAGTGAGGGCGGTGAAGATGTCATATTGTTGTAAACGTGGAAGACCAGACTCTAATGTCTTGACGAGAGCGCATGAGTTCGATAATTTACAAGTGTTGCCATCAAGTTTTATTTGCAAAGACAAGCAAAATCAACAAACATCGCACAATTTGGTATTGGAAAGGCCTTTTATTTCATTTTTTTTTCGCGGTAAATGCGGTGAAGGTTTATTAGTGGAGTAGAGCTTGCTCGCTTACTCGACCAGGCGTGAAATTTTATTTTTAAGCTTTAAGGTAGACTTTGTGCTTGTTGAACAGCTCGCTGATTTTGTACATAAGTTGGCCTTTTCGTAGTAATAAGAAAGTTAGTCTTGCTATGTCCTGTCTTTTTCTTCATTTCTAAATTTCGGCCGGAGGTTCGATATTATTTCCTCTGTTCTGAGACGCCATAAGAGGTGTAGATATATTGAGTAACGACGTTGCAGAGGTTTAATCTCATTTCTTATCGGTTTGCAAACTTCACTGGTCGAAAAGGGGAAGAAAATCAGTGCTAAATTATGTTTAAACCCAAAGATGTATTTATACAACAATGAAATCATCCCTAGAATGCCACGTTGATTTTTTGCCGATCGTCTTTTGCATGAATGAAGTAAGAGAAGAACAATTAAAGATTGCAAAAGATTAGGCTAACGTTGTTACATGTAAGTCGAGTGAAATGCTGCCATCTTTTATACATATCGTGAACATGCGTGAACAGAAGAACAACAGTTTAAAAGTCTGTTAGAATGTGTCCTGTTTTATAACCAGCCTCACTTGAAAAAGTGAGGCTAACTTTTCAAGTCGTAATATTGATGAGTATGTGACACGAAGCTCCAAACTATCAGTTTGTTGGCAATCGTCTCTCACCTCGCCTGT